GTATTCTTACGTAGCTATGCTATGTTAAGTTCCGCAGTCGACTGTAATGGTTGCTATACCAGAGTTAGTAGCTCACGGTCTTCAAAGAAAGTGTTCTTGTATACGAAACCAAAACTACTAATTCAGTTAGCTGAAAAGATAAGAAAGTGAAGTTCTTATAATCTACGAGGACTGATAAATAGCGAAAGGACAAACTGTTGATCAATAAATCACACTTAGTCGGCTGAAGACGTTATATACCACAATAACTGAGTTGCTGTAAATGACTAATGTAAATAGCGTTGCATTCCCAGTCGATCTAACAATCACTGGTACCCAGTGAAAGGCCTCGTCGCCAGTGTTGTATGGCAAGCAAGGTGTGTGATGGAGATGTTATTATGTTCCTCTTACGTTGAAACCCGTAGTATATGACCAGTGAAAGAAATATTTGAAACAAAAAAAATCTTATCAGTGTTGCTGTGATCAAGTGCCATACAAACTTTCAATACATCACAAGTCGCCAGCACAAGGCGTTATATAGTCTTATTGTTATTTAGTATCACACAAACAATTAATACATCACGAGTCGCCAGCACAAGGCGTTATATAGTCTTATTGTTATTTAGTATCACATAAACAATTAATAGATCACGAGTCGCCAGCACAAGGCGTTATATAGTCTTATTGTTATTTAGTGTCACACAAACAATTAATAGATCACGAGTCGCCAGCACAAGGCGTTATATAGTCTTATTGTTATTTAGTGTCACACAAACAATTAATAGATCACGAGGCACCAGCACAAGGCGTTATATAGTCTTATTGTTATTTAGTGTCACACAAACAATTAATAGATCACGAGGCACCAGCATATGACTTTATATAGTACTAGTTGAAGTACCCGTCCGAAGAACGAGTGAACTAAAAACTCGTTTGTAACAAAGGATAGGAAATCGTGTTTTTATTTTTTATTAACATAATAAACAATATAAGTGCAATAGAATACATAAACGTACCAATACTGAAAAGAAATACATACTGTTTTCAAGAATTCTATCAATAGAAAATTAGATGGGGATCCTGCCTCCTGATGATCTTCCGCATGTCATCCTGTACCATTGTGTCCAGTTGTGTTGATTTGGTAGTTTTTCTGAAATTTGATATGAAGTTAGATGGGAATCCAACCCCCTCAACCCCCCCCCCCTCCATGACCTTCCTCATGTCATCCTCTATCATTGTATCAAGTTGGGTGCTGATTGATCAAGAAATGTGGAAACGTATAAGGAACAGATACATAAACAAATTGACGTTTATTTATATAAAAGGCGGGGATCTAACCCCAACCCCTTCATGACCTTCCTCATGTCATCCTATATCACTGTGTCAAGTTTGGTGCTGAATGATCAAAAAATGTGGAAACGTATAAGGAACAGATGACTGAAAGGTGCGAACAAACAGACACAAACTAAGATTTATATATTAGATTATTGTGATGTAGTATCACCCAAACAATCAATAGAACACGAGTCGCCAGCATAAAACGTAAAATATGTGATATAGTGTCACATAAGTTGCCAATCAATATATCACGAGTTGCCAGCATAAGGTTTAAATATATAGAAGTAAATATAATAGAAGTAACATATTAAAAGTCCTTTCGACCAGCCCCCCCTCCCCATCGGTAAGTCTACACTTACAACGCTAGAAACTGAGTTTAGATACCCATAGTGGACAGAGCACAGATAGCCCATTGTGTAACTTTGTGCTTATCTTCAAACAAACCTTTCGACCAAAGTTAAACAATATTGCATGTACAAGATATCATGATGCTATTTGATATTTTAGGAATAACACTTCGGTATCCATACAAGTCAGTAAAGACGTGCCTGTTGGGAAAACAAAAATATTATTATGCCAGAAATCGACCGTTAAACTATTTCAGTTAACGTCAGATGGGAAAACTAATTGTATAGTTCTTCGTCCGTTATTACATATTTACGCCAGCTCTATACAATAGAATAGCTGGAATGATCTTCTTGTTCATAGATAGCATCATTAATAGATGTGTTTACTATTAAGTGCTACTTGATTAGAATGGATTAGAAATATTTGATATATATATATTTTTTTAGTTCTGCTGTTTCTCAAACAGAGAGAGAACTATTCATCAAATTAAGAATGGTGTTTAATGTTTTCGTCAATTTTGAAATATATATATATATATATATATATAATAATAATAATCTTGTAACGTTATCCACGTTCTGAGAAGTTAAGAAAGAAAATGAGAAAATTTAGATAATGAGCGATAACCATGCCCATTTGATTAAGTCTTTCTTATCCTGCAGCACATAACCGAAGAGATATAATTAAGATGGATAGTTAAACTAGTAAACAAAATATAAAAGACAACATTCTATGTTATCTTTCAACACGATTATTTTTTGACTTTGAAAATAGTTTCGAATTTTTGTGTTTAAACTAAACATTAGACCAATGCGGGTATCGAATCTCGATTTTTAGTATTGTAAATCCTCCATTTTACTTCTGGGTCGGCGGGAGTGCTGTTCGAACTGAAAAATGTTATTGATATGAGAGTTAGCTAGATCTTGCAAACAGAACGTTCCATTAAGATATGGTCTTAATAAGCATTTTTTTTAGTAAAAAATTGACAGACTAAAAATTTGCATTTATTATATCGAAAGGTATGAACTAAGGTGGGTAAGTTAACATTATTATGGTTCCTTAATAAGATTCGAGGTGCTTATATACGCCTTTTTATTAAATAGATAACCAGCTACCTTATGACTTCAAATTTAAAATTCAATGTTATCACCATCCAAAGACACTCACACTCACGTCGATAAGACCAGAAAATATAATATGTTTCTAGAAAACCATTTTTTCTTCCAAGAGGGTTTATATCACGGTTTTGAATACCGAAAGCTGGTGAAGCACTGAAATAGTTGAGATAATAGTATCGTAAAAACAATGCAATAGTTTGAAGTAATACAATTATTTTTTTATTTTCTCTTGGTCTTGGTTACTGTTAAGCGCAAAATTCACAAGTGAACTGTCTGTGCTCTATCCATTACAGGTTTCAAAATTGTAATTGAGGGAGGGGGGGGGGGCAAAACATGGCATGTTTTGCCTATCGTGGCTATCGAACCCCGATTTTTCTCGTTATAAGCCATTAGTCATACCGCTGAGTCGCCGGAAAGCTGATTTTGTCTTTCATTCTGAAAAACATTTGCTGCATCACAGGATAGCTCCTATCGCTACAGGTAATTTGGTAAGATATAACTACATTAACAACTAAAATGTTATTGAAATAGTTATTACACTAAATCTGTTTAAGCAAAGAGAGCAGTCAGTTCAATAAGGCCAAAGTTATTATAACACGAATAACAAATGGAGTTACTGTGTGATAAAACTCTGTATATGTGTATATCGTCAACATTTAGGCAAACGATCGTTATCTAAATGACATATACTTGCAGAAAAGTATTCAAAAAAACAAAAGTCTAAAATGAGAATTAGCCCTAACATTATGCAATTATCCTGGCTTTTCTCAATGCCCAGTTGCACTATAGTCACAGTTGTATAAATGATTATAATGACAGGAAGCTTTAATCTTATATTTATAAATACATAAAACAGGGGAAATGCAGTAAGCTACAGAAATTCTGTGTCTTTTGAAGCATTAATAAAATGCGTCCACACATTTTCATATTAAGTATCAAGAAATAGGTTTTACTTTAACCCTTTACAGGCTATGGCGTAGCCACCTGAATATAAAAGGTATAATATCAGGAAATGGACAATTTCCATTTCCCCTCGATACTAGTGTCAACTTATACAAGGTTTATTACTGGTGTTTTAATGAACTATTTAACATATATCTATAAGGTTGAAAGAAGACTGGCTTTTTATAGGGCAAAATATATTATATATTGCAGCGATATGATAAAGATTTCAATGTTTTGAAGACTAACAATATGTGGAAGAAATAACATGAATTGCACCTCCATTTTTCATCACCAGTGACAATTCTATACAAAAAAAATTATGTATCTCAATTTCTCAAAATGATAATTTTAGTAACTGTGGTTTTTATTTCAAATGCAATTATGCCATCACTAAAGATAGGAGATTTTGTAACATGCTTTTATTAATTGAAGCCCTCTGATCTTAAAGTGTAAGAAAACAGCTTACATAGGACTAGTAAAATTGTTTGGGTATTAGAAAGTAAAATTCGTTAATGATGTATTTGTTAGAAGCTTAATCATTTTAGTTTCATCTATTTTCCGATAAAACACAAGCATTTTAGTCTAAGAACCCACTGGTTTTGTATTTTTTTTTATGATTTGTATCACTGATTGTTTTTTTTTATAGATTAATTGTCTTTATTTGATTTATAGTTTTGATTTTGTGATCTTATATTTGTGTATTTGTCACTAATTTTATGAAATATATCATCTTATTTGGTTAAGATCTTTAATTTTAAATTTCTAAGCTTTTTTATTAAAGAAATGAATATTGCTAACTTAGTCAGAAAATGTATAATTTTTTTATTTGTTTAATAGCTATTGTTTTGATTTGGTTTGCTGTTGAGATTAGAAATGTTATTATTTGTTTAAGTTTCATATTTTGTATTTTGTGAAATATGTAGTGTATATCACTAATTTGTTTTTGTAATTTATTGTCTTATTATTATTTTTTCATTAATAACTTAGTCTGTAAGTCTGTTTTGTTTGTATATGATAAATATGACCATGTGTTTTCATAAGGATACTTAAAATACACTCAAGGTTGCCATCTTTGAATAAAAAATGTGTTGATGTAATGTCTTTCAATTAATATAGTTTCAAGTTTAAGGATGTTATAATACTAATGTAAGTCTAAGTAAACTGTTTTGCATGTGATTTCTCATTTTTATGAAAGAAACATATTTTTGCAGTTTCAAGATATTTTTATTTATTTCAAACGTCAATTTCTGTAATACTGTTAAATTTAAAATATAAGTCGCATTAATGTAATTTTAATGTTTTACTTGTTTATTAAACTTTTCTTTGGAAAGGGTTATATAGCGATAATGAAGTCTGGGGAAATACCTGTACCAGACGATTTGAAGAATGGAAAGGATAAGATAGTCTTTGGAAATATTGAAGCTATGTATGAGTGGCACAGAGAGTAAGTATAGCTAAATATATAACAGTATTTAATTATGATAGTTGTTAGTAAATGGGTTAGGGGAATTTTTGTTTTTATAATGACATTTATTATCCACTTTCACTAGATAACTGTAGTTTTGTTATTGAAATACTTTTCTCCAACTTTTCAGATTATTATAAGGAAAAGGTAAGAATAAGTTATAAACTGCCTAATTATATAGTAAATATTTATATTTTCATCTGTGTTTCTATTATTTTACTTTGTAGTACATTTTATGGGGAGTTACAGAAATGTGCAGCTGAACCAGCGAGATTAGGTCCACTATTTCGTCGTTATGAGAGGAGGCTACACATGTATGTTGTCTACTGTCAAAATAAACCAAAGTCAGAGTACATAGTTTCAGAATTTATTGATACTTATTTTGAGGTAAGTTATTTGTAAAAAAAAGTGAAATTTTTTCAGCATTTATTTACTTAATTTATAAGAAGACTTGCCTAACTAATTTTTTTATGTTTAGTTACAGATAAACAAGTATATATTTTTAAAATCCTTATTTTTAAAAGACAGTATTTCAGTAGGTTTACCTATCATCATCAGATGGCAAGCTCTGAATTGAATTACATGACAGTTCAAACTCATGTTTTACATTATCAGACTGATATTAAATCATTAAATAATAATGTAATAGAAATGAATAATTGCTAAATGAGGAAGACAAAAATTAGAATAAATATAAGCGTACACTTGCATATTTATTAATGTTATACTTTGATTTTTGATATAGAGAGCTGCTTCTGTTTTTCTATGACTTGTATTGATTTCTTTGTCAATGATTTCAACGTCTGAGAAATCAGAGGAGTGATTATATCCAACCATGTGTTCAAATGCAAAAGAGTAATCTTTAAAGTTTTCTTTTCATCTTGTTGGAAGCTTTCTTTTAGTTTCTCTGATGTAAGAACTATCATGGTCTTTGCATTTAATTTGATACACTGATTCTGATGTGTCATTATCAAACGTTGTTTGTATTTTTCAATTTGTCATCCAGGTGTGATTGTAAAAATAAAGGGAATAAAAGATGAAGAATAAAAAACTATAGGACTGCATTATCTTGAACATTCTTACCAAGATACTTTTTGTAATATTAGTAAAATAAATCAGTTTCTGCTTATAAATATTTTGCTTTCATTAGACTAAAAGCTAGAATAGAAATTAATTTTTATATATCTATGGTGAATCTGTTGTTAGTATGTTAAACACTAGACAAAAGGTGAAGATTTTTTTCTTTAATGCATTTTCTACTCGTAACAAACATTATACACATAGTTTGTATGTAACAAAATATTTACAGTAAGAGCTTCTTTGTACTGTAATGTCACCAAAACTGTAATATGCTATAATTTCACTCACAATTCTACTTTCATGTTGTTATATCCATTACCAGATGGTAAGTGCATATGTTACCATTACTGTAGATGATTTTGTGTGGTATTTGTATAGCTATTTAGTTTGTGCTTTCACCAAGACTATAGCAGTGTAAGGTGAGTACTGTGATCCAATTGTTCAGTTGTTGTTGATCCTTACAAGAGCATCTGTTTCAGGAGGTGAGACAGAAGCTAGGTCATAAACTTCAGCTGCCTGACTTACTTATCAAACCTGTCCAGAGAGTGATGAAGTATCAGCTGCTACTGAAGGTAAGGAAATACAGCTAATGTGAAACATAAAGTAACATCCATATTCATCAATTTTGTCTTTGTATAGCTAATCAGTCACATAATTTAATGTATTCACTAATTACATCTTTATATAACTAATCAGAAATGCATCTTTAATGTCTATTTTCAGTCATTTATACTCTTGTACATTTAACCAGTAACGTAATCTAATAGATATCTCTTATTTCATGCTAGTACCTCTAGTAACTAGTTAGCCAGAAACGTAATCTAATATGTAATATCTAATTTCACACTAGTATCTCAAATAACTAGTTTGCCAAAAACATAATCTAATATGTAATATCTCTTAGTTCATGCTAATGTCTTCATTAACTAATTAGCCAGAAACATAATCTGGTATGTAATGTCTCTTAGTTCATGCTAACATCTTCAGTAACTAATTAGCCAGAAACATAATCTGGTATGTAATGTCTCTTAGTTCATGCTAATGTCTTCATTAACTAATTAGCCAGAAACATAATCTGGTATGTAATGTCTCTTAGTCCATGCTAACATCTTCAGAAACTAATTTCTGGCTAACATTACATACCAGATTATGTCTCTTAGTTCATGCTAACATCTTCAGTAACTAATTTCTGGCTAATATAATCTGGTATGTAATGTCTCTTAGTTTATGCTAACATCTTCAGTAACTAATTAGCCAGAAACATAATCTAATATGTTAAAAACCAACTTACTTTCTAATGGTTGGACTGCAACATGAACAAAAGGGTAGCATATCATTAACCAAAAAGATAAACAAATTGAATGTAAATTTACACTTCCAACAATGATACTTAGAAAGGTGTGACATTTAACTGGTATCAAATAACTAAAGCATTAGAGCCACAGCCCATTTTTAATGTTGAGGGGCTATATATATTTACATTTGTTGTTAAAAGTGTTATGATATTTAAGTTTTGAAGGTATGTCTGAATTTCAGGATATACTTAAATACACAGAAAAGGCTGGACTTCAGAAAGAAGCAGAAGACTTAAGGAAAGCCGTCCATATTATGCATGTGGTACCTAAAGCTGCTAATGATATGATGAACGTGGGACGTTTGCAAGGCTTTGATGTGAGTATATTATTATTTTTTGTAGTGTTTACATAGTAGTTTCTGAATTGGGCAAGTATATGTTTGCATTTAATTTTATAGGATAAATTAGAAACATTACAAGGCTTTTAGTGAAAAACTATCATTAGCATTTAATAAAGCATTTTGTATCTCACGAAACTTATTTTTATCCAAAATAATTAATAGTACTACTATATTATTTGTCTTTTGCGATATAACTGTTTTAATTCTTTCAACCCGGACTAGGTCCCTGGGACAGATCCCGTAACCATTTTGTGCTTGTTATAGTTTTCATGCCATAACTTTTAAATTAGTAAGCAAATGTTAATGAAATTTGGCAGTTTATCAGTGAACATTACAATGCTTTCATACGCAAGATATCTAATTTTTCTTATTAAGTCTTAAGGTTTGTAAAGCAATGTTTCTCTATTGCCTTTCTTTTCTTTTCACATTTTGCCTATCTATCATATAAAGTAATTTTAATTTTAGGATGAAAAATACTTTTATGCATCAGAAAATTTTCAAATTTCATATGCGAAATCTTTATAATGTCGAGATAGTTATCAAACATCTGTTAAGAAAAAACTTTATATTTTATCTGTTATTTTCTGTAATTAATCTCAGTACGGGTTTGGTAAATTTGACCGATCTCTCAACCACCATAAAAAATTAGGAAATAAGCATAAATTATGCCTCTTTCATTTTAATATGAAACACAAATTATAAAACGAAAACACAAATGTTTACATGAAATATCTTAAATCTCATAACAATATATATTTATTATTTTTATTATATTGACTTTTCACCTGTGCCTGGCTTAACGATACAGAAGTTAAAATGACGCGTCTCACTTGCACTCGTGTTATCGTATCAAATAACATAAAG